TTTGTATTGTTAGGCAGTGTTAATTTACATTTTATGACCACAGCGTGGGAAGCTGAACAGGTGGAGCTAAAGAAGAGCCAAGTCTCTCTTACTTGGTCCATCGGTCAGAAGCAGTTTTATTTAGAAGGACTCACAAGGTTTCAGAATGGCAGCAGGCTTCAGGTGTCAGTTGCAGTGTACCTCTGCTGGCCTTTTCCTGAATGTCCAAAATCTTGGATAGTCACTTTTGAGTGCTTCTTTATAAAACTGATCTGGTCAGGCTTTGGAAAAAGATATTATTTGTTTCAGTATGACAGAATACTGATTATGGCCATTCATTAGCGCCAGCCATGATTACTGGTGGTAGAGAATGCTATATTACTTAGCAAAGAAAACAAGAAGCACAATCTGCCAGGGTTTATATGCCTACTGAGTTTACTGAGAAATACTGAAACAGAATTCTGTAACTCCAAAGAGAGCTGAGATTCTTTGGTGCCAATCACTTGACTTCTCTATTGATTATCTTTTCTCCTCTCAAAATTGCCTACATTACTAGGGAATGTCAAAAAGAAACATGTGAAAACACATAGTTCTGCCTACTGAAGAAAAGGTAGGGCATACTCGTGCAACTTGCCATCGTTATCTTAGGATACACTGCTTCAGATCTGAAGAAACTTCCCTTAGGAGTGAGATGATCATTCGGTCTCTTTGCTCAGTCCAAGGATTTTCAATACGAATATCTGTCTGAAGTGTGCTGAGCTTGCCTCATCCTTTTGGATAAGCCAGCCAACATCACAGAGTAAACATTTTATCACTCTGTTTCAGGAAGTATTGAGCATGTGAGCTCTCTCTTCAAGCACATCGTAATGCCAGTAGCTCAAGATGAGCCAGTGCTCAAGTCTTTTGCCGAGGGAAAGCTTTGATAGTATTCCAATTTTTCTACAGATTGTGAGCTCCTGAGAGCTCCTGAAGATCTTCTGCAGAATATTCTTAGTACTAATGCCCTGAGACATGCAGCTCCCACTAATCACACTTACAAACTTTGTTCTCATACTTGCCTTGGAAATATTTTCCCATGAAGCCTCTCATTAAGTAAGTAAATAATAAATAAATAAAAATCCTGCTCTCTGGGGTGTGGTGAAATAGGCTGCAGGCTGCTAGGCTTGCTTCACTTATAGTACAGTTGCAGTGTCTGAACTGGAGTTTGAAAAGCAGCAGATAGTTTTTGGACATCATCTTTTGTGAAACTTTGCCCGATGAGTGTTGGTCTTGTATTCTTGTTTTCACTATACATCTGAATTGAAAAGTTTTGAAGTTTTAGTGCTTCATAAGTCTTTTCCTTGAGGAAGAGGATGTGTTAGTGAGGAAGAGGCAATGGTCAGTCTAGTAAAGAGGGGACAGTCTAGTTGAGAACACTTTGAGAGAGAAAAGTCTATTACAACCAAATATTACTGCCTGATTTTGCCATTTCTGAGAGTATTAGTATAGTGGACAGCTGATTTGGGGTAAATTGAGACTTTCATCCAGATGTGACGCTTGTCACTAATCCAGTTTCATCAACTTTATCCAATTTGGTCTTTTCTCTCAATATGCTAAAAGCATCTTTTACACAGAAAGTGAGAGGCAGATTATTGTCCAGCAGTGGAAGAGTCTTAGTCCTCATTTAATATCAGAGAAAGGGGAGAGAGGTTTCTCTCTCTTGTGTCAGCAAAATCTGGGGGAAGTTTCTGTACGACAGGTAGGGTGGAAGATTTTCCTCTCATCCTCTTAAAAATTAGTTAAGCATTTTAGAGGTTTGGCCTTTTTTTCCCATTTTTTTCCTAGCTTAACTTCATACTTATTTTCAAGCTCTGTATTTTCAAGTGTTGCTTTTGAACAAACATTCTTCATAAATAATGTAAAAAAAAAAAAGAAATTAATGCTGTAATTTAACTACACCTGCGTGCACTGTAATTTGAACATCTGTGGGGCAGTATTTTTAGCTAGAGTTGCACATGTCATATATGGGATTTCTGTGACAAAGTCCTTGTGAAGTATCCATCCTAGTGTAGCTTTTTTACTTTCACAGCTCATTTCTTTTTGCTAGGTACTCATTTATTATCGTTAGTTGGTTAGAGCTTCAGCATTTTCTCTTGAAGGACAGCAATGCTGTGAAATACCTCCTCTCCTCCCCCGACTGTCATTCAGCCATCTGTAGGTGCAATTTACTGGGCACAGAAGGATAATACTTGAAAAGTCTTCCAGAAGAGGTAGTCATAACAAGGTTTGTGTGTATACAAATAAGGATTTTTTTAATCCATTCATAAATTAAAAATACATAATGAATTAGAAAACAAATATATTTCATTTTTATTAAAATAAGTGTGTTTTGTTTATCTTAAAATATGTCTTTGAATTTCCTGGGTTCATTTTACACTTTTAATTTGTATTAAACATTTTTTTCCATAGACTGGTTGAATAATATTGTTTGGTACCAGCTGTCTTTAGTTGTCAGACTTCACTCTGAGAAGGAGTGTCTTCTAACCTGCACAAAGGTGACAAAACGTGCAACATCATCTGTTTTTTCCCTGGTTGCTCACGTTTTACGGTTAACTGCTTGTGCTCACAGTCTGGATACCTGCTAGTGTTTTCAGTCAGCTGATATTCCTAAGGCTGTCTGGCCTTGGGCACAGCTTGTAATCTGAGAAGTATTTAGCTTCTGGCTCCCTACATGAACAGGGAGATCTCTTTGGTGCCCCACATGAAGAGGGAGTGAACGTGTGATGGGGTCATGATGGCTTCTTGTAGGGGGGTTGGCCTAAACAGGCACCTAAATTAAGTGTTGTATGGAAACAACTGCCCATGCGTCACTTTTGTGAGTATGGAGATGACCTTCTCTAGTTAATCAATTTGTTTCACCATTTCTCTAAAACTATAGGTCCTGTTACTTTGATATTATTGTCTAGAATGAAAATATATCATAATTTCTTGTTAATAAGCCAGAAAGATGAGTGCACATGTATGTGTTTATATAGCTACATACTTTTTTGGGGTGGGTTGAATTGTCTTTGGACCAGATAACAGCAGTTGTGAAGGTATTTCTTTTAAGAAAGTGGAAAGTGTGACTGCATTAGCAGTAACATTTCAATCTAGAATAATTGCCCCACATATTGTGAAACACATGGATGGCATTTACTGATTAAGTACCCTCCATAATTCTCTGCCATAGCTCTGTCCAAGCTATAGCATCTGCAGCATTGCTTCTGCCAGGGTTATGTTCTGCTTGACCTTATTACAGGCATACAATATAATTACTAAATAGGGGCTAATCTATATAAACAAGTGTTAGTTCTGTGTACTGTGAGCCCTATCATTATGTTTTACTCCTAGTGGATGCCTTCCATAGTCATTCTTCAAGTGCTTGGGTAGATTGTTTTTGTAAATGATCTTTATACTTGAACTCCAAGGATTTGGACTTTACAAAGTGAAAAAAACTGTAAATCTAGATATGATTCCCATTTCCTTTCTTCCAAGCTCAGTTCAGCTTCAGTGGACGATGTTTTAGCAAAGTAAAGAGATCTTGGGTGCCGTAGAGTACTGTGATTATTTTCTAGTTAGTACACAGTTGCTTTGGGGGATATTAAGGCAAACAATGTCTCACACTTTCAGATATAATAGATGAAAGTAAAAGATGTGGAACTGGAAATCCTTGCCTCTTTGATAATTGTAGTGTCCTTCCCTTATCAAAAAAAATGTAGAGGTAGCTGCTACACAGTGAATATAGTTGAATTTCTTTGCACTCATTTTGATCTTGGTTTCAATTAATATATATTTTTTATATATAAGATGGAGATTGACAATGCTTACAATGATGTTTGAATAGCTGGAGTGTTTTTGGTGTAGACAGGCAGCAGTTTTGGGAATGGGCTTCTTGGCAGGCAACTAAGCTTATTCATTCATTTCCTGCTTACTCATTTATTTCACACTTACTCCTCTCTGCTGGAGGTCTGTCCTTTGGGCTGTTTACTTTGTGAAGTACATGTGTACAGTCAAATCTAAATGATTCTGTCATATTATCAGTAATAAATGTTTATTCATGCCCCAAATCTGCAGTGAGAAACAGAGAGCGTTTTCCAGCCGATGCCAGCTCGTACTTTGCTCTGCTTTTCTAATAGCTCGAAGGCAATGGTTTCGGTGGCCGCAGCATGATTCCTGTTACTGCCTCCCCAAAAGCCAAGCTGAGATTGTCAGTGCTCCATGTCCTGTTGCAGAACAGGGCTCACGTCCACAGAGCAGCTGCAGCCTTAGCTTGCAGCACGGGGAGGGTGTAGCTGCCATAGCCTCCTCTGTTCCCGATTCTCGGTGGGAAGTTTTGGCTCTTTTCTATGCGGGAGCATGCGGCTGTGGCCCCCGTGGATGGAAGATTGCCTGCAAGAGGAATATGGATGAGGGTGACCATGCTGAGGAGCAGGAATTGGAGTCTGGGATGTCGGTGAAAACCCCAAATTGCAAGCAAAGGCAGGGGAAGAGAGGCGATAGAAATACAGCAAAGGAGGTAAAGATGGAACAGAAAGAAGAACCTGTAAATAGCCCCTAGGAGTCCAGATGTTACCACTCTTTGCTATCAATACCACCTTGGGAGGCTGCTGGTTTGCAGTTTGTCATCATACAGCACTACATATATATATCTGTGCCAGGCAGAGCTTTATTTTGGTTTCAGTTGCCACTGGGAATGTTTGGCACTTCTGCAGATCAGAGGTTTCTTCAGGAAATGGCTACGCAAAGTCCTCTCTGGAGTTTCCATGTCAGAGAAGGGTGCTCAGGAGACCCCCAAATTTTAAAGAGAACTCACTGAGAATTTGGGGGGGGAGGAACCTGTTATACAGGAAGACTGGAAATTTTGACAGAGGGTTCATTTGAACAAGCGAAAGCTTCTTCAAGGCCAGGAGAAGGGAGCCAGCAAGAAGAGGAAAGCAGGAGCAACAGCAAGAGTACGACAAGGATTGCTTTGGCACTTGGGGGTGACGTGCAAAAGAGCTGAGCTCTGCTGCAGTTAGCTAAGGACATAAGGGGTCCCAAGAGGGGATTTTACAGGCGCCTTTATCCTAAAAGGAATGTGAGCCCATTGATGAATGGTGAGGGACAAAGCATCCTGGACAGAAGGGAAAAGGCTCAAGTATTCGATACATTTTTGGTTCAGTTTTAAAAGTAGAATCCTGCTTTTAAGCTCCTGGTCATTTCAGTATCAATCAGGAAGAAAAGGGAGCAGTCAGCAATGGACAAGCAGCAGATCAGAGACTACCCATAGAAAGTATGTATAATGAAATCCGTGAAACCGGATGGGATTCAGTCAAGGGTACGGGAAGAGGGGTGGGCTGATATGGTTGTGAGGCACCTGCTTATCCTCTTGGTGTTTGGGGAGATTCCTGTTGATCTGAAGAAGGCTAAAATTGTATCTGGGTTTGAGAGGAACAAAAAGGAAGGTCCAGGGACCAGCTTGACCTCAATCCCTGGAAAGGTCCTGGGGCATGAAATTTTGGATAAGAAAGGATAAGAAAGCATTCAGGAGCCATCATCATGGATTTACTAATTGTTAGTCATGCCCAGCTAATCCGATTGCCTTCTTTGCTAGAGGGACTGGGATTGTGGAGGAATGTTTATGTTGGAGGACTATGATTTACTATACCATAACTTTATTAAGACTTTTGACAACATCTCTGGGAGCATCCTTTTTGGTAAGTTGGGAAGGTGTGGGCTGAATGAATGCATGGGTTGAGAATGGGCTGGACTCTGCCCTCGAAGCACAGCAACCAGTGACTGCAGGGCCATTTGGCATCCAGAAGCTAGCGAAGTATCTCAGGGACTGATACTGCTCAATTCTTCATCAGTGACCTGGATATGAGACAGAATATGCCCTCAGCAAACCTGCAGAGAATGCTAAGCCAAGTTAGGTGTGATGTGCATTATTGTCTGCCCGATGCCTCAGTCCAGAGAGATCTTAGGATGTGATCCAACAGAAATCTAATGAAACTCAGAAAAGTGGTCATCTGGCATAGAGTAACTCCATACATCAGTGTGACCTGTTGAAAAGGATCTGGGCGCTAGAGGGGTCATCCAACTCCCTATGAGCCAAGTGTGTTTTAAGAAGTCTGGTCGAAAGGGCTTGTTCAACTTTACCTGGAAGCTCTGAAACAAAATCTGGGAGCAAATCTAATGCCCGGGGCAGAATCCAGCCCCTCACTGCCAGGGCCATTCTTTCTCCCCTTTGTTCACAGGGTGCTTTCTGAGAGAGGCAGAAAGGATAACAGAAAATTGGTCTCTTTTACAGTGTAACTGTGACTCATGGCAGCCTAAGTCCATCCTGTGCAGGCATGACTGACAGTAGACAGTGTGTCTGGATCATTTTGTAAAAGAGGGGTGAATTACAGTTGCAAAGGCAAGCTTAGTATGGGTATTTTCAGTGCTTGACTTTCTAACCCTACTATTCTATAAAATATTTTATGTGTAATTACATAACGATTATCTCATTAGCAATTGCATTCGATTGCTTTTAGAAAGTCGACCAAACAGATAGAGAAACATTTGGATTTGAAACATCTTTTTTAATTACAGTATTGTAGGTTAACAAGTGTTCATTTGGTGTTTCTCTTAATTTTTGTAAAGATTGATTTTTAATGATGGAATGCTTGATGAAGAAAATAAAGTTCTGTGCTTTAGTAAGTCATTTTTTGATGGGCTTTTAAATTGAAACACATCGTTACGACATTGTACATATGTAATAAGATCTTGATTTAAATAGACTCCGTTCCACACACTGCAGCATTAAATAATCACCATGGTTTGAAACACTAACAAGGTAGTTTGAACTCGATCAGGTTTTTAAGTAACCTTTAAGTAGCATGTAGTTCTCAAGCGGGCATTCCTTTCAGACATAAGTAGAGATCTGCTTGCTTCTCCGTGCCTAAAGGCAGCAGGATCTCGCTCAAAAACTTCCATTGTTTTCCATGACGCTGAGGGTGGAATGACTCAGAGGTGCCTGGAAATGTATTGGGAAGCTTGCTGTTGGGACGTGGCAGTTGCACCCCAGGTGGGCACAGCAGGAGCGTTTGCCCTTGAGCGCAGCAGGGCTGCTCGGGCAGAGCCGCGGCCGGGAGCTGCCTCCGCTCCGCTCCGCTCTGCCGGGGTGCCCTCTGCCCCGGGGGGGTATCCCCAGCCTGGCTGTGTAGCAGCGTATCGGTTTAATCCAACTTCTGTTCGTGTCGTAAGCAATAAGCATTTTCATTTTAAATGAGATTGTACTAGCTGTCTCATGGTGGAAATCAAAAATACACTGTGGCAGTAAGAAAGAAAGAGGATCAAAAAAACAGATGAGAAAGACATAGATTAAGCAAATTTTTTGACAGGATGGTCAGTTAATAGCTACCAATTTGCCAACTATGTATTTGTGATGCTAAGAGTGCAGGCAATCTCAGAATTACACTTAGAAACTGTTCTTCATAATTTCTGACATCAAGGTGAAATTATAGTCAGAAAAAGTTATTGTCTGTTACACGGATGGTGTGAAATGCAGGTCTCTAAAATCAACTGGATTCTGAAACAGGGATCCGGTTTTAAAATCCTATGTAAAATATTAATATGAGTTTATTTTTTGAAGGAGTTGTAGGGGAATCTCCGTGGATTTTTCTTAATTCATTTTTGTAACTGCTGTATCTTTGGAACATTAGGTATTATTTTCTTCAGTGGAGCTCATGGTTTTGGCAGTTCTGTGGACTTATATGAGACAGTATGACAAGCTACCTGAATCTTCTGGTGCAGATTATAAAGCCTCTCTCCCCTTGGATATTGTATTATATACCTGTAGGTTGACCACCTACGTGCTCTAAAGCAGTTTTATTTTGGGGAGGGAGAGGGAGGCATGCTGAATGTCGTGAAATGGTGACAATATCAAACAAGAGGCTACATCAAATAGCAAATGCGAACGGGTTACGTTTCACCTCCAGGTCTGCACATGTTAGGTGTTAAACAGCTCCATGTGTTGAGGGTGTTTCTGGGAGAGCAGTTCATACTCCAGTGTCCCTCCATGTGCACTTGGGTCCCTTTGGCTGTCTTGGTCACCACAGTTGTGCTGGCTAGAGCAGCTCGGCGTGGTGACAGGTGACACAGGTAAAAATGGGCAGGCGAACACTGAATTTCAAGTTTTTCACCTGCCAGGGTGCAGAAGAGGTGCTGTTTGCCAAGGAGATTCTCAGAGAGGTGATGACATTCATGGCATCAGTGTTGTATGGTTAGTAAAATGATACTGGGGATGATATCGTGGGCAAAATATTGAGGCAAGAATGCAGGCACGATTAGTGAGAGATGGGCTCTGGGTGTGTTAAAGGATGTGTTTTAACCAAGCGAAGGTGGAAAGTTTTGTCTTAGGGGCTTGTCTATGCCCGAAACAAGCAGAAAGGAAGGAACTTGAGAGTAGATACTTGTCTGTAACTCTTCCGGTGGATAGTGTTGGGAGGACCACGTGTCCCCGATGGAAGCTAATGCAGAATAAAGGCTGCATTTAAAAATCAGGTGTTTTTTTTTCAGTAAGCTTCCTACAGCAGATGAGTCTGCCTAGTGTATGTGCTCTCACGGTGGCTGTGTAGCAAACACACGCGCTAGCGTGGTTTTGGGAGTGGATGTATACGGCCCTGCCTGATGTCTAAGCACTGGTGCGTTATACACCCCAGAAGTCTTTTCTGAGCTCCAGTTCACCTGTAGTCATAACCGATGATTTGCAGGATCACGCTGCCG